AGTCACGTGACCTTTGGGGGGGGTCACGTGACCTCAGGGAAGGTCACGGGACTTCAGGGGGTCACGTGACCTCAGGAGGGTCACGTGACCTCGGGGGGGGGGGTGTCACGTGACCTGAAGGTGTCGTGACCTTAGGGGGTCACGTGACCTCGGGGGGGGGGGGGGGGGGGGTGTCACGTAACCTCAGGTGGTCACGTGACTTTGGGGGGTCACGTGACCTTGGGGGTTACGTGACCTCGCGGTTACGCCGACGGCGACTGTGACGCCGCCCAGGCCGGAAACGGGCCCCAAAGAGCTGCGCTCTAAAAACAAACACCCGAAGATAATTTGTCTGCACTACGCAAGTGGAACTGTGTAGTCCGAATATACCATTCGAGATAGGTGGACTGTGATGCGATGATCAATCACGTGGAGTGCATTGTTGCGAATCGCTCCCCAAATTCACCGCTGCCACTTGATCGCCCAGACATTGAGCTCTCGCCGGCGACTGAAAAATATATCCGTCCGATGAAGTCAGCTGGGCGAAATCCCTCGTCAACCCGGGCTTTTACCTGGTATAGATAGTTGCTTGGACTAATATTTATCTTTTTTTCTCCTTCTTCGGCTTGGCACTGCAGTTAGCTGGCTGGGTCTCAATTTTTGGGTAGACAAAGGCCTCACGCGTGTGTGCCGCTCCAAGATAGGGCGGCTTCATTTCACGGCTCGAAGGTCCAGCGCGTTGAACTGAGCAGTGATCCTTCTATAAAGATACGAAGGGATTATGATCCCGGAGATAGATATAAAAAAAGGAAAAGCGAAAGGAGCACAAAGAACTTTGCGTCTCGACCTTGGTCGCCGAGCCGCTTCACAACAAAGCCGTCTGTCGTCTATAAAAGACTCCACTCGCTTCAGTACGTGGCGAGCACCCAACGTCTTAAATTTACGCCGTATAGTCATTGAAATTGCGAAATTCGTTGATGGAAACACCAAAACACGAATCATAAAGCGAGAGGCGCCAACATAATTCGGAGCGCAAGTTCGTCTGCTACTTTTGCAGGCGTTGCGGTGACGTGAGAACGCCGAGCCCTGCTTAGCTTTGATTGGAAGGACAGTGGGTAGACCAAGTAGCCTTTAAGTCTACCCACTATCCTTCAATCAGAGCCAATCAGAGTTCGGTGTTCCGACGTCACGGCAACTCCTGCGCAGGAAGCGGACGAAATTGCGCTCCGCAGAATCACCGACAGCAACGCAGGGCGTGGGCGGGTCCCGAGCATCTCGTTATCGTTACACAGCCAATAAGATTGCGACATCATCCTACGAGGACCAATCACGAAGCGCGAAGCAGGAAAATAGAATGCCATGCTTTTCGTTACTGAGCCAATCAAACGGTGCTAAAAGAGCACCGTCAAGCTGCTCATCTTTCCGCGTTTGAAATGCGAAGAGAAAGTCGTCTGCTTTCTTTGTAGGGGTTGGGGTGACGTCAGAACGCCAAGCTCTGATTGGTTCTGAATAAAGGCTAGTTGGTAGACCTCGAGGAAGCTTTCTTTGTGGTCTGCGCAATATCCTTTAATCAGAGCCAATCAGGGCTTGGCGTCTTTCTGACTTCACCGAAACTAATGCGCAAGAACCAGACGACTTGTTCTCCACATAAATCGCTAAACCAATCGCGCACGGTGGAAGTAACGTAATCTTGCACTTTTTACTGCGCGTGATCGGTCCCGTCAGGTATGGCAAACACACACAGAAGACGAGTGCGGTGACGATGCACTTTTTGCGTTGCTTGATCGGCACTGTCTGATCTAGGGACTGCCGTGGTTGGATTTCGAGTGAAACAGAGTGTAAGCCTTCAATACGTGTATGGTGCCTGGAGTGTGTCTTCGACTGGCGTGTTCAGCGTCCTATGCTGCCCACACATCGAAAGAGGTCCCGAAGTGGCAACAAATGACGTCACAGAAGCCGAAGTGTCGTGCTGTTGCACGTCGCGATCCTAGCGGTTGGTCGTAGAAATGCTAACGAAAAGCTGCGAGTACCACGAGTGAACGCAAGTACCGCTGTGGTCACGGCGTCCCAAATTCTGGCTGCCGAAGCTTCCGTGGACTGCCACACTGGAGAGCGACGTACAGCAGAATAGGCGTCTGCCACATACTCCACACCTGTTTGGGACGCCGCCAGGATCGCGACTGGCGCATCATGACACTTGTATGACGTCACCAGGCAGAAATTGAGGGACCACTTTTTTGGACGCGATATACACACCAACCAGTTGGAGACGCGTTCCAGGCACCATAATACGGGTACTGGTCACGGAACTTCTCCGTAACGCGTAGCGTTACGGAGAAGTTCGTGACATACGCGACCACGCGTGGCGCTAGTATCGACAAGGGGGCTGCGAGCCGCCGATGCCCCAATGTTTAAGGAGGCTTAAGCATCGCTGTATAAATGTCACGTATTGTACTTTCTTTTTATGAATTTTATTAAATTAATTATAGAACTTGACAGTTTGGGGTAATGAAATCATGCGTTCTTATATTTTCAATAAATAATAATAAATGAGTTCAAACGCTCGGAGACGCCAGATCGCTAAAGTAAAATTAGGTTGACACACTTTTGTTAGGCAGGCAAATAAGAATGTGACAATTAGTCATATCTGAATATTTTTACATGTTAATAAAAAAACAAAAAAACTACCATCCACACGCGCTAATACGACCACATTCACATACAAACGCTACATGTTATTGTAAATTATTTACATTGAGTTGAAATTATAATGGTCGGAAATATATAAGAATCGAATTGGGCTTCAGAATCAATGGTGAGAATATTCACAGGTGCGAGGTCAATCTGCAAAATGCTTATGCAAATAATATTCAAAATGAAACCAACAGGAAATGGACATGAAAATAATACAAAGGAACAAATATCTGACAGTACTGGAAGTGGGACGTAAAAAAACCGGCAAAAAATACCTTCATAGGCAAGTAAAATCTCCAACCTCGACTAAAAACTAAAGCAAAAAACAAACAAACAAACACACTTCATAGGCAATTAAAATCTCCAACCTCGGGTGAAAGCTGAAGCGCTTGATCTGTATGCTTCTTGTCCTTGTCTTTTTTGCGCTATTTTTATATGTTTATTTAAGATGAACCAACCAGCCCAACAACAACGTACCCTACTGAAGCTCAATTTTGTTTCTTTCAATATTTTGGCATGTTAACGGTATAGTTTTCTGCTCGGACCGCAGACGGCGTCACACGGCGCCGTTGAGGTAGGCTCCAAAGAGGATTGACTCTCAGCACGCAGTGTAAGCAACAAAACAACAAACAATGCGACGCTATTTTTGTTGTGCATGTGTTTGAGTGCGTGTCTATTTGTGCGAGTGTGTCACCGAGCGCTAGGACGCTTGTGTGAGCGCTGGGGCTTTCAGAGAGGTTCCGTCGGCGCCGCAAACTCTTCCAAAAGTAATTGTAATTGTGCTTGAAATTTTGCAAGTACTAACGCTGGAAAGCAATTAAATTACAATTACAATTTCTTTTAGCCGAAAGTACAAGTAATTACAACTACAAATTACAAGAAAAGTAATTAAATTACTTGAATTGAACCGCGCCAAATTTTGAATTCGGCGCGATTCACTGGGAGCGAGGTGACAAAACAAAAATGCTCCCTCTGGAACAGTAGCGCCCCTGGCGTTAGCTGTTGGCCCTGTACCAAACTTTGGCCGAAGTTGCGTGACCAGCGGCGTATTGAAGGACTCTGGAATAAGCCTTGTTGGGAGTCTGCTGCGGACGCGATTGGCCATCTGTAGACCATTCCAATACTCGTCGTCTGCGCGCCGCCATCTTTGTCTACTGGGCTGTGGAAGGCGTTCTGAACATGCGCAGTAGCTTCCTGTTGTACAGTAAGAGGCGCCGTACATGCGTCCACTGCTCAACGAATCGGCATTTTTAGCCTGGGTGATAAATAATTAAAAAGTGTACAGGGCTCTGGCAAACCTTCTGTTCGAAGATAGGACAATTGTCTTTCATCGTAATTCCGTAAGGAGTAGCGTGAATTAAAGTTCCTGTATGTGAGGAACACTCGTGCTTGCTACAACTAGCGACGTTCTTTGAGGCGCCGACTGCGTGACGTTGCAGGTTTTAGGAAACGAATTGCGGCGCACAACGGAAGACTGAACTGAATGATGCTATTTCGCTCGAGCGGAATGTGCTTCGTCATTCGTGTTGGTCGTCGTTACCTGTAAGAAGAAGCATACAAGGTCTAGCGTAGATGCTAGCAGTACGACATATATTTCCCCAGCGGCGGTTATTAAAAAAAAAAAAAAATTGGCCTACGTTACGAGTTTATAGTTGTTTGTAGGGATGCAGGTAAGAACGTCCTGTCTTCACGCTTAACTCGGAAACTGCTTATTTTCTGGCGATTTCAATGGACATCCACAGCGTACACGTCGTATTTTCCCCTATTTTCGTCGAAGATGCACTGACCGGCTCGCAGTAGCAGAAACTTCTTAATAAAATACCCAGAGCAACTTTATGGGCGAATGATAGGACAGGAACGATTTTACCATATTGCACTTGCGTTTCATATAAAGGTGAAAATGAAAAGCTAGAATGAGTCAAAGTGCCAAGGGACGACAGACATATTAAATTGTTTTTCTTCAGTTGTCCTTTGGCGCTTTAATTTGTTTTCCAGCTATGCCATACCGAGTTCTATTGAGTTAAGGTCCGTTCACTCTCTTGCAACCGAGAACGACCAAGAGAGACCAGACCGGTTTTTAAGCCTCTTGCGACCTCTTAGGACCAGCCCCGCTGCACCGCATCCGGTCCTAAGAGGTCTCAAGAGGCTTTAAAACCGGTCTGGTCTCTCTCGGTCGTACTCGGTTGCAAGCGCGTGAACGGGCCTTTATATACAACTCTCTGTAAAGCTATTTCGCGCTTACGATGTAAAGCTATGCGAGCGCCTCTTCCCGCAGCAGTGGGACAAAGAGCAGGCATGTTACTCATGTGTCCCGTGTTTCCACGCAGCATGGCTACCCGTCTAAACGACGCTCGTTGCTGGACGACGCCAAGTTCGAGACGCAGAAGCACAAGGAAGCGGAAGAAGTACGCAGGCAGGCCTCCCGGGACTCGCAAGACACCATAGACTCGCTCCTGGAAGACGTGAGTTCGGAATGGGATTACGAGTCAGACGTGTCGGGACCCTGCAGAATCACCTTTGGCGACGTACCGTTCTATTACGGTACCCGCAACGCGTCTCCGTCTGGTGTGTTCAGCGCCAGACCCTGTCCATGCGTCAAAAGTTGTCCAGGAGAAACAAAAAAATTACGTCCCAAAAGCCCGATGTCACGCGGTCGCATGTCGCGATCCTGGCGGTTGAATGCAAAAGTTCTGGAAATAAACCACTAGATAGCGCGAGTGTCGCTGTCGTCGCGGCGTCCCTACTCCTGGCTGACGAATCTTCCGTGGGCTGTCAATTTGGAGAGCGACCTGCAGCGGAACAGGCCTCTGCCACATACACCACCGCTGCTGTGACGCCGCCAGGATCGCGGCAGGCGAAAGCATGGAGTATACTTCTATGACGTCACCGGCCGGAGATCGAGGGACCATATTGCAAGACGCGGTAAACACAGCGGTCAGAGAGGCATTCCAGGCTAGTTTCGTGCCGTTAGTTAGCTTCGTTAGCTGTTACACGCGAACAGCGTCGTATGAGAGGTGAGGGAACGATCCGAATGTTGCCAAACGTCTTCGGTCGCATTTTTCGGACAAAGTGTTTCGGAGAACGCCTACTTAGTGGCGCTGGCAGTACGTATCGGTGTGAACCGTATGTAAAAAGGAAGAAATCAATACGAATAACAAGGAGTAACAATGGCAGCGGCGGCACCACCAGCAGAGCCACATATTTCCCCTGGCGTGCGAACTAAAGAAATGTCCGAAAATTTTATTCTTTGAAAAATTAAATCTGCATGACGTTAGGATCGAGTCAAACGATGGAGTTATTGAATTTTTCTCAGTGCCGCCGCTAGGTGTCGCGTGCTTGTGGTTCGCCACATAGAGTTAATATAATGTACGCTAGAGGTTGAACTGGCGCTAGTGTCTATGCGACTTCCGTGACGCAAATTGAAGCAGACAGCAACCAGCCTACTTTTGCGGTGCTCCTGTGCATTCCTATGGGAAAACGCGCGTGCATTTTGTCTCTTCGCCAGAAAATAACACGGAACACTTTGGTTATTTGGGTCATACCGAATATCATGTACCTTGATTAACACTATAAAGTGTAATTGCTTTAGTTAGCGCATTTTTCTTCATCAGTGAACGATATTTAACTTCGCTACATTTCAGCCCCAAACGTGTGTTCCGCAGCAGGTGTGTAAAAACAAGCGACGATTCAAAGCAAAATTACAATCGAAACGAATATCGAGTGTGTTCAAGGCTTGCCAGCATTCCGGTGACGCTTGTATATTGATAATATGCCAGTGCAGTACGTCAGTCTATGAAAATGATCCCGTCGTGCATGAGCGGATAAAAACCTTCAAAACATAGAGAATAAAGTCCCTGGGCTATGAAAGGTGTCTCTTCGTATTGTTTTCTCTGCCGGGCAGCTTTTATCGCGCGCTTGTTCTCAAAGATATCTAGCGCGCGGGTGATATTTTGAACGTAGAACAAGCAGCTTCGCTCAGGGCAGAAAGAATAAAGCGGTACTCACTTGTGTAAAATCGGATTAGATTACGTGGCCTTCAATTTATTTTGATTGTGCATGCACTGCGAGTTACTGATCCAGTGTTAGTTCTTGCCGCCGCTCTTGATTTTCCAGATGTGCTTCGTTCGTTTGGCATGTATATCCCCCATGCTGGAAATCGCCGACACCGCGTTCGCGCTAACAGTGTCCGACAGTGCACATAAATACATGTACGAAGCTGTTTTAGCACCGTTTTTAACGCGATGAATTCGAAAGAAAAACGCCGTAACTGACCGATTCTTTCGTCGGCCTGACTGAGAAATGTTCCAAGCTACCTAGTACGTACAAATTATTTGGGATATTTGCTCTTATGATCGAGCGCAGAGAGAAAATGCACTCACTTTTTCCCATAGAAATGCATTACTGGAAGTCAATTTTCGACTGGTTGCGGTCTGCTTCAATTTGCGTCAGCACACTAGCGCCACTTGAACCTCTAGCGTACATTATAATAACTCTATGGTTCGCCACTCTGGTTCGGCAGACATGCTTACTACCACGCCTAACCGCTTTCGACGAATGGAGTTTTCTCACGTGAGTGCCTGCAACCCTAGTGGATGGGCGGACTCTTTGTATATACGGCTCTTGTAGCGGTTACTGTTCAGGTGTTACGGCTAAGGAAGTCTAATATCGTACCGTTTTCAAATGCCAAAAAGGATATATACGTAATTATGCGTGTTGTCGATTGGGGAGGCTCAAACGGCCTCATAGGAACACCTGCTCAGGGAGCAGATAAAACTAAAATAGCATAAAGAAAATTAAAAAAAAAAAGTCATTTTCTGCAAAAAAAAAGTAAGTTGTCGATTGATGAATAGAGACATTTGGAAAGTCCATACAGAGGTGCGGAACAAATCTTAGGCCTGCGGTCCATTGTTTTTATTGCTATTACTCTAGATCGGGACGGCGTCACGTCATTTAAATGGAAATGCAGAAACTCCAGAAATCTATAACAGCTTAAAGAACAAAAAAAAAAAAAACAAAAAAAAAAAAACAAAAAAAACACCTGTGAGTTTTTGTTTGTTTGTTTGTTTTTAAAGACTTTGTATCACACAAATGGATACCCTTTGTTAAAACAGCGTTCCTAACTGGAATACCGCGAAACACCACACAAATTGGAACGATTGAGAGGTTTCTATTTATTTATCACGAGCTTTCAAAAATCAATAATAAAACATACTGTGATTCAATAGAGTCCGATGTCACCTTCCGGTAGAGAAACTGTTTCAATAATAAATGCACAAATTTTTTTTTTTTTTTAGATTTCGGAATGTGTTTTTTAGTTCGTTTTTTTCCCTTCGTATCTTGTGGTTACCGTGCAATATGTAGGTGGGATCAAGTTTCCTACGCTTCGTTTCAGCCTATGTCAGAGCCTAGTCGACGCTACATGCGAGCTGATAGAGCCAATCAAACGGCTCCAAAAGGGCAAGGTCACGGCTTTCGCAACTTTTATCTTGGCGTGCTGTCTTTGGGTAAACTAATCAACCGCACTAATTGCGCTCTGACCTCGCGCTTTAGTATACATGTCCGTGTTCGCTCGTGTCCTCGACTTTGTCCGCGCTCAGAAGAGCGCACCCAATCGAGGATAGAGAATTTTGAGTGTTGCGCATAGGAACAGAATCAAGCGTCTGCGTTGCGTGCTCGCGCATCCACGTCGATCGTCTCCACGCACCGATCCAAGACCGCAGTTCGGGCTTCGCGCAGGCGCATAGTGTGGAACACGCAAACGCTAACGCAAACGCACAATGCTTGCGTTCGCTCGTATGCGCAATACTAAAACCCACGAATAACTAGTTTTAAAATAGCGTATGCAGAAAAAAAAAAGAGACCCGTGCGCAAGAAAATAGCGTTGTCGCCATGCGCAAGTCTAAAAACCCGGTTTTGAGCTTGTCGCATGCGTAGTAGCGACGACGCTGTTTTTTGTTTTTGTTTGTTTGTGTACGGACAGATTTTGCGTACGCTATTCTAAGACTCGTTACTCACCTTCACATGTGCTTATTTAGGAGTAAATTTTCTAGATTCCGCTTAACATCAGGTCCAAGCGCAGCCGATGGAGCCAATCAAACAGCGGTAAAAGTGCATCGTCACGGCGCTGCATTGTTTTTTGGCGTCGCTAATTACCGGCTAACCCAATCACGCGCACAGAAAAACGCAGAATGATGAGGCGTTCACTATGATTGGTTTTTTTCCGGGGATAGAAAACGGGTATCTGGGCGTCGATTAAAAACTTTTACCCAATATTTCGCAGTTCTTTAGTCGATGAATTAATCGATAAATCGGTCTGGTTCGTTTCCACGCGTACCACTTTAAAAAAGTGAAACATTACATTTTTTTTATTGTTTTTGCTCAATGTGTGATAATTGTTTTTAAGTGACGAATCGATTTTCATTCCGGATCGACATCGATGCGTAGTTGAGAACAGTTTAAAGATACCCAGACTCACAGATGCTCCGGACACTGACACTTCTACTGCACGAGGCAAACGGGTTCGTTCATATTCTCCTCCGGCAAGAGCGACTTTCTTTGATTGCTTACCATGGTCTGAGCTTCTGTAAACGTGCACTTGCACGGCGTTGAAGTCGTCGGGATACGTGTAACCTACCCGCACTTGTCTGAAGTTACAAATCTTGCTCTCAAGCCGGGGTCAAGCCGCTTATACATCATACAAAAGACATGTCTGCATACAGATTCGAACGCGAGTAATTGCGAGATTCGTGCTTCGAGTGCCGCATGGCAATGAGTTCAAGGAGAAGTTTGGGTACGCCGCATTCGAACCACTGATATTGTGGTGACTCGTATTTGCGGGCTGTCTTTTGTATACTTTATGAGCAATGTGACCCCGGGCTTTACAGTTTACTTCAAGTAACCTGAAGTTTTCTTTCATACACAGGTGTTGTCGTCCACGTCTGCCTGGTGAAAGCGTTCAGTTATCGCTTTCTTTTGCTTCGTCAAAAGTTTACCGATGAACCGGTTTAAAAAAATGATCGCGATTAAAGCATTAATTGACTATTCGTTAAGTTACCCAACCCTAGAGATTAAAAAAAAAAAGCAAAAAAAAAAGCACAAATTTGACGAGCGTTTTGACGGTACACTCTTGGCGTTGCTTGCCTCCGTCGGAGCGTGGGCTGCGGTACAAACTTGGTGTGAAACGGAGATGCATCTCCGTGATCGCATGTTCTCTAAACTCTGTGTTCTGACTTGATTCGGAGCCACGCTGGTCAAACGTCGTACAGAATACAGTCTGCGGGCATTGTCTGACGCATCCTTCATCCTTGTACGATGGTCACATCGGACGTACAAAAGGCTGCCTGCACACGGAGAATTATCTGCGTGCCCGCAGATATTTCTCTCATACATCTCCGCGGAGAAACTCCGTGTCTGTTGTATGACGATTTGAGCAGTGGGACTACGATGAAAGGAAGTACAGTGTGCACAAACTATTATTATTACAAATCGTTTTTCTTTTCCTTAAAGGAGAGAAAAGATTGTGGATTCTGCTTGTATGTGCCGTCTACATATCTTTCGATGTTGTGTCTCATGAATGTCTTGTGACGCTTCGATCACGTTTTTTTGTCTCGTTACTTGATGTCCAAAACCCCGTGGCACGTGACGTGCTTTCGTTGCGCTAGTTGGGAGTCGTGTGCGTAATCAAAATTGCGATTTAACATCATCCAATATGGGTAATTTGTGAGAATGATCGTACAACGTAGCCACGAGAACGAGATTAATACAAACACGTGCAGGATTTCCGAGTAAACTTTTTATGAACGTTGCTTCCACAAAGAAACCATCCGACAAACGTAAATTTAAAAAAAAAAGAACGAAAGAAAAAGGGGGAGTCATACAATAAACTTAATCTGTATACAGTTTATTCTATCCAGTATACAAACGCAATGTTACAGAACACGAATGCTTTTTTTGGCAAGTCTTACAAATCACGCGGAATTTAAGTGAATACCCCGTTCCACATCAAGTCCGATCGCTACCAACTCTATGGAAATGAACTGTATGAAGACAGAGCAGCATTTCTCAAGTACGCCGTACATCCTGCGGTGATATGCGTTCTTGGTTCGCGTCGCAGGTCTACTTCGAGGATGTGTTGTCCGGGGGAAAGGACCAGACGGCCAGCGTGGTGTTCGGACTCAGAGACGGGGTGGAAAGTCTCGCAAAGATACTCAAGGAAGTGGATGTGCGTAAAGGTTACACATTACGGCGTTTTCTTTTTTCGTTTGTTTTTTGATGCTGGGCCCTTTTCTAGACTTGTAGCGATTTGTTAGCTTGTTTATTGTATGTATTTTAATGTAATTAATGTTTCATTCCTCGCAAACCTAGTTAAGTTATTGGGGGATACTAGGGGAGTTTTCGTAGACCGCGCTGCCCCCTCCGCTAAGCGTTCCGCAACGAAGAAGTTGCTACTACGCCTGCGCGCCGATAGCCTTGACTGTGGAGTTCCCGCTGTCGTGGCGGGTTGCAGAGGACCTTGCGGGACGGCGATAACGATCTACGAAAACTCCCTACTATTTAGTGCGTTACATACTCCATGAAAGGAAGATACTTAAATCGTGAATGTAGAAAATTTACCCCGATCATTGGTATAATGTGGTCTGTGCTTATGATGAAAAATGAAAGACGTTTACAATCCCCTGTAACGCCGAATTAGAGCGCACCTCTTGAGGAGGAGGGAAAGGTACGGAGAGGAGGCTATGCCACTCCTCCTCATCCGTACCCTCCCCTCCTTCTCTCCTGCTCGCCCCCCCTTCAGGGGAAGATTTTCGCAAAATTTTCTGCCAAATTGAGCGGAAATCTTTTTCCGCTAAATTTAGCGGGGAATTTTTTTCCGCTTAATTTAGCGGGAAAAATTTTCCGCTAAATTTAACGGCGAAATTTTTCGGCTAAATTTAGCGGGGAATTTACTCATAATGTCACGCGTGGTGCCGTCACGAGTGACGTCACTGGTGACCCTCGTGACGTCACGTGTGACGTCATCATGGGAGACGTCCCATAATATACCGCGCAGTTACGCCGACGGCGACGGCGACGCCGACGCAGCTCAAGCCGGAAACGGCCGTCTAAGAGCTGCGCTCTAAAATCAACAAATAAGGAAATAATTTTACCCAGTGCAAGAAAAGTACAGGATGAGAGGGAAATCGAAGCTAGCAAAATACTAAGAATCCAAATATTTTCTAGGCTGTTTTAGACAAATGTCTTTGAACGTCTTTCATAACCAGTGTTTCGCTCACGACGATAGAGATATCTCAAAACGTAAGACATGTACACTGCTGTATGCGTCATACAAAAGACGGTATTTGCTGCTGGCATGTTGGCAGAATTAGCTGCGGACAAGGCTCATGCCTGTTCGAAGCACGTTTTCTTCCTACGTATGTGTGCTTAGAAAATATCTGCAGACTGTCTTATGCATGATATACATTCAGTGTGACTGCGACTTTGGAGCCGCTGCATGTTGAGAGTTGCGCATTCTACGTGTCGTCCGTTTGAGCCGATATAAACGACTCAATGGAGCTTCCCGATCGGCTGAAGGTTCAATAAATGATGATGATGATGATGATGATGACCTGGCTGGCGTTGCAGGACTGCGGCGGTAAGGTGAACCACCTGGAGACACGCACCTCGAAGCAGCCGAACCAGACGCACGAAGTGTTCGTCTCCATGAACATCAGCCGTGACCAGCTGCTCGGTCTGGCAAAGGCGCTGGCGCTCAACACCCTGGCGGACATGCGAGTCATCAAGGACTTCTCTTCCGCTATGGCCGGCGGTAGGGACATCCCTCCTGGCCGGACGCCATCTGCCTTTTTTCTGGGTTCTTCCTATGCAGAGCGCAAGTTTGTCTGCTTCTTTTGACGTCAGAAAGACGCCGAGCTCTGATTGGCTCTGATTGGAAGGATAGCGGGTATACCTCAAAGCAAGCTGCCTCGAGGTCTACCCACTGTCCTTCAATCAGAGCCAATCAAAGCTTGGGGTTCTGACGTCACCGAACCCCTGCAGAAGAAGCAGACGAACTTGGGCTCCGCTTGGTCACTGGCCGCTTAAAGCCACGGTAACACTGCTAATATATCATACAAAAAAAAACAAAAAAAACACTCTGTTGACACTGTCAGGGGCGTGCTTCTTCCTTGTCTCATACTGATCATACAAAAACGACCTACAGCCATGTTCGAAACACATATGAAGCTGTTTCGAACATGCTCGTGGCATGTTAGTTGTGTCATCATGTCTGCGTCGTTTTGTATGTTGTATGAACAGTGCGACTGCAGCTTAATCGCTTCTCGCTTTTTTTTTTTTTTAATTTTTCCCAAGACATCTGGTTTCCGCTTCACATCTCAGACCTTGACTTCTGCACCCACGTCTTGACCAAGTTTGAGCCCGACCTGGACAGCGATCACCCCGTAAGCTTACGTGCATGACGCTGCTACACGTGTTCCTTGAGCGCGTACGCTTTCTCATTGTCCGCACGAATGCATGTCGTGTATAGCGAACGTTTCCTGGCGCCGTTATAAAGTCAACCGGATGAATCGGTGTCTGGATCTGCGTATAGCGAGCTGCGATCCCCGTTTTTATAGCTGTATTTTACGCGTGTGTGCTCTTGTTGGGAAACTTTAGAGCCCGCTGTTTCTCTCTTCACTTTCGAGAAGGGCTGCCTGTCGCGTGAGCACTCATCGGGGGTATGACGGGACGCCGCATTCGTTGGGACGCGGTTCGCAGCTGACGCCCTGAGTTAACGCACCATTTATCTTCTGCCAAGAAGAAAAATCTTTATTGGGAGGAATCTGCGATTGTATACACGTTCCACGTGCATTCCACCCTTTTTTTTTGTTCTTGGCAGACAATAAAGTGGTGCTCACACGAGGGGGAATTCTCGGAAATTTCTCCCCGCCGTGCGTATCAGGTGACGAAAACGTCAAGCTTTTACGATGCGGCACTACGGCGTCTGCTCGGAGGAAGGGAGGGATCGATGCTCGGATGGCACAAACAATGTATGATTCGGCGTCGGATCAGTTTGTTTTCGATAATAGTTTGTCGTTAAAGGTTTTCGTTTTTGCGTCAAATCTAGAGCTGGCCAAGCCCGCCTGCGGTGGTGTTCAGAACGGAAACGCCTAAATCGGACTGCAAACGCTAACGTTGTTCCTTCCCTGGCACTTCGTCGGTGTGAACGACGAAGCCGAGGAGGAAATTGCGCCCGCTGTTGACGTCACGCACGTCTGTGCGGATTTCTCCCCCGTGTGAATACCGCTTAAATGGGCGCTCTGAGCATACGCTAAGAACAACCACGTGACGTCCCGTGAGTACTACGTAGTACACTTAACGTTCAAATTTACCCTTCGAAACCCCGTGAACCTCTGGCTTGTAGAACTGTACATTGTCGTTTTTTTTTTCTTTTCTAGGACATAGAGTTAATCACTGCGATTATGAGATAAATCTCGATTTGCGTTTGATCCAGGGAACGTACGTGACGTGTCATGCGGTGTGTCGCAGCGTATTGGCTCTTTCTCGCGTGAGTTGAAACGTGGTGGCGCCAGTGTGCAAGTAGCCCCCAACGACTTCCGGTTCTGAACTGAACGGCGGGTTTCGCAGTATTTGCGAAATCAAATATGCACGCTATCTCCTGAAAACGGCCACTTATATTGCACTGTCACACTTATTTCACTCGTATCATAAAAGATTGACGAGTAAAAAATTAGGAAATATACGTGAACCGGAAGTGTGTAGGAGGCTTCCCAATAGACGGCGCCACTGAGTTTGTTGCCAAACAAAAAGTATGAATATAAAATACGTAAAATCTATCTCGCTCTCGTAATACACTAGGCTCCTGCCGTAGGCTGTAACGGCTGCTTCTCAGCATTCATTAATAGCAAGTGGGCGAGAGTACCTCGGTCATAAATTGTGCGGGTTATAATGGTAAACAAAAACAACAACTACAACAACGCCAATATTCGCTTGCTTTTTCTCTGACCAACCGTTGAAGTACATGTTGCTCAAAGATGGTTGATATTTTATGTTTCAAGATCTGAGTGACTTACTGACGTCTTGCAGGGATTCTCTGATCCTGTATATCGCACCCGTCGCAAGCACATAGCGCAGATTGCCTTCGACTATAAGTTGTGAGTATATTTGTTTGCTGTGCCGGATCTTTTCCAACCAATTGCTCGGAGCAGGATTTCTAAGAAACTTACTTTTTTTCGAAACCTTAGTGGACAGCCGATTCCCAGAGTCGCTTACACTGCCGACGAAGTCAAGACTTGGTAAGTTCATTAATTCTCTTAATATTCTCAATTGAACTCAAATCTTTCAATTTTCTTAATATTCAACGGTTGCGTTTTCTACCTCACTATTATCTAGAATATCTGAGTGTTGTACGCAGTTTGCCTAACGACGTCACTTGGTTCATCACAACACAAAATAATAAGAAAGCTCCTTAGTTGCGAACCGCGTACACCTTTAAATTCAACTACGAAAACAGTATAGGCGTCTACGCATTAGTACCGAAATTGTGTTCAATATTATTTCATTTCGTTTCAATAAATATTGCGCCTAATTCAATTATTCGGGTTGGCTTTAAAGCAATGAGCGATTCTGCTATGTCGTGACCTACTGCTCACGAAGAACCCGGCAGCGACAATAAAATCGAGACGTCAAAAACCTGTGAGGTCACTTTACTGCAGAACATTGGTACAGCCAAGCACGACGAACATTAAAAAGATTCTAAAAAAAAACAAAAACAATGCTGATAATATGATTAGATCTGAAAAATGCAATGTGCGCGGAGACAGTAAGCAAGTGAAACGACATGCTCATTATCTGTACTCACATCGCAATTTCGTGGTCTAATAGACTATTTTCAAAACTTCATACAGCAAGATTGGCGGTCGAGATTTCTAGGCTAGGTGGCGCAAGCTAGCGCCCGTTATAAAGGGTACAGCCGTTAGCATCCATCCATCCATCTATCTATTAAGGTGCAACCCCACTCTTGGTTAGTGTGATTCTGAACCAATAGATGGCGGTGTTATCGCCTTTCAGGATCAGGGGAAGCTCATTGCTGTTTGAGGCGAGGACGGGTGTTCTGCGAACCAGAACATACAGAGTGAAGTACCAGGAAATGGATACAGTGTGCACTGCTTGTGGAGAGGAGGACGAGACGGCTGAGCACCTGATACTCTACTGTAAAGGGCTTCACCCTATGCCTACCGAAGACAACATAGATTTAATAAAGTCATTGGGTTTTAAAGACAGCGAAGGGATAGTGGATTTCAAGACTGTAGAGATTACCAATCAAAGATTAAGTGAATGGTGGCAGAAATCGAGAGAAAACTAGGTATTTTCTTATTCACTGATGGCAAGGGGGTTTCATAGCCTTACTTTCTTTGCACTGCGGAGTGAATATAGATTTCACATTTAAATATTCTAAGCTTAAATGGTAAAACAAAATGGCTAGGTGGCGTAAGCTACCGCCCGATCCAAAGGGCTCAGCCGTATTCATCCATCCATCCATCCATCCAGGTGATCCCACCGCCATTTATCATGAAAAATTCTGGCGATATGTAAACTCGATGGACAGGAGTGACCCACCACCAACCGTCATAGAGGATCACACAGGAAATGTGGTACAGGATTTGATGGAGCATCTGTCGGAGTACCTGACAAAGGCATTTGAGTGGGAAGATGGTAGCACACCAGTGAGCGGACCTGATCAGAGTACCTTCAATGGCATATACAGACCCTGTTGAACCAGAGCAGCCAGAATCCCTAGAGCAGACAATCGCGCCAAAGCGGGAAATGGTGAAAGTCGTGCTTGACAAAGCCATCGTGCACATTGAAAAAAAAAAAAAAAAAAAAAGCACTGCACGCGGAACAGACGGCATACCTGCGACCTTGCTCAAATGCATGGGCAATGACGCTCGAAGGCAGCTGGCAAACATCCTAACCGACATCGTTGCGGGTAGTCCTATTCCCAAGGGTTGGATGCACAGTAGGGTTATACTGGTGATGAAAAGTGGAGGCAACAAAAAAAGGCTGAATGACTACCGTCCCCTCACAGTGACAACGTCATTTACAGGGTGTTTGCCCATGTTATAAAGGAATGGATGTGTGGCTGGGCGGAGGCAAACGCCAAACTGACTGAGCTCCAAAATGGCTTCCGCAGAGACCGCAGAGGATAACCTGTTCGTTCTTACGCAACTCGAGATTTTATATGCTGCTTCTTGGATGTAGCGAAGGCCTATGATAGTGTACCCCACAGGGTCCCTCATCCAATGCCTCAGGAGACTAGACATGCCCAGCCAATGGACGAACTTAATACGACGATTGTACGACGGAGGAGCTGTCACGGCTGAGTTTAGAGGCGTGATGTCCAGAGGGGTTAAGTGAAAAGGGGCCTGAAGCAGGGCTGCGCTCCCTCACCCCTCTTGTATATGTTGTACACGGGCGAGCTGGAACGACATCTCCTGAAGTCAGAGCTCCGTTTCTCACTCACACGCCTAGAAGAGGATTGTGAAACGCACTGGACATTGTCGGGCCTCAGATACGCTGATGTCCTCGTACTCTTTGCGAGGGACATGGAAACACTTCAAAAGTTGGTAGACGTCTGTGAAGAAGAAATGGCACTACTGGGACTGAAACTGAATGTTTTAAAATCAGCGGTAGTGCAGTTCTCTGGAGACTACACAGAAAGCAAGGTGTTGAGGCTACAACAGGAAGCTGTCGCGGTGTCGAATCAGTACAGATATCTGGGAGTGACACTGACGAACGCGCCCGACTACTGTGACAAATATCAAGCATCAATATTAATATCAAAGGGGGCAAAACATCTTACGTCTGCGAATGGAGCGGCAATAGATACGTGATGGTGAAAGAACTATGGAAGGCTGTGCGGGTACCTGGAATTACGTTCGCCAATGAAATAATTTTTGTGTCACGCCTGATACACGAGCCTGGTTAGAGCGCCACTTGTCCCAGGCAACTGAGTGCCTGACACACTCAGTTGCCTGGGACAAGTGGCGATTGAGGCGATTCAGGGTGACGTGGGATGGTCGACTTTCGAAGCAAGGGAGGTAGCCAGCAAGCTTTGCTATCGAGGACGGCTCCTACACATGGATAAAAGTCCATGGGCCAGACGGACATTTGACTATTTGGGTCTCCGATGCCTACAGACACGGTGGGTGAAGCGCGTCTACCAGCTCCGCAAGAAAAACGTTTTTTTTAACCGACCCAGTTCGGGAAGACACGGAAGGCAAGTGGGCAAGGAGGGTGACAAGGGGTGTAGGAGGAGCGGAGACAACAGACTGGATGGAGGAGGCAGGAGTGAAGCCGACTCTAGAAGTATATAGGGCCCACAAGCATAATATCGGAGCTGAGGACTTCTATAACAACAGCCTGGGCAGCCGCCTCCTGTTTGAGGCGCGAGCAGGAGCGCTGCGGACACTGGCATATCAGCAGCGGTTCGACCCGACGATAATTACCATACAGTGTAGGCTCTGTGATCAAGACGCAGAAACAATCGAACACCTGGTCCTCCGCTGCCTGGCCCTGACGCCAAATTGGGAGCTAGCCGACACCCAAGCCGAACAAGCATCCAGCCATGACAGTGGACGGCAGGCGACGCCACCGGCGAGTGTGCACGGAGGCCATAGAGCTACTGCCACTACAGCTCCACAACCTACACAAGCGCCATCCTTAGCGGAAGCACTGGGATTTCAAGAGGCGGCCGACTCCGGAGCACACCCCACGGTGAGATGGGCGATCCGAAAAACAAAACGGCTGGAAAATTGGTAGAAAAAAAAGAGAATAATGTGAAGGCCGACACAAAGGAGCCCACCGGCTTGGACCCGATTAGTACGTGACCCCCCGTTCCAAAAGGGATAGCTACATTATCATCATCATCATCATCATTACCATCCTCATCACCATCACCATCATCATCATCATCAGACGTGTACATCAATGCGAAAAATCGTGTGTGGTGGCGCCTTCGATACAGTGGGGTATTTTTCTATATCCTGAAAGTGACGTCCTTGGCCTTCGCTTGTTTTTCTCTGCACGAGCTTTCTTTGCAACGCGCACGGCTGCGCCAGTTCTCGTGCCAGGAGGCCGGTTCCCTAAGCTCAGAGCTCACGTCTCCAGAAAATGTGGTCAGAACAAAACGCGAAAATTGCCTCAGCCAAATGGCGAGACACATGCACAACAAATCAACCGACTTGTTGAAAAACATAAAATTGCCTGTGCGCTGTTAGCACCCCGCGGGGATTTCGGAGGCCAATTACACGTATTTCAATGTGGTCAGATTTATATGACGGGCCGGCTCTTTCGTCGTGCATGTGTTTGGCTCTTTGGGGATTTTCAGGAAAAGGTGATGACGTGATAGACTTGGGTTTCCAAAATTCTAGCCTGAGGAAATAAATATCTAAAAAATCAAAACAAATGAGCTACTTTTTGGGCTGTCAGGTGTCTCATTTAGGTAACTGGGTGTTTGTTTTGACCAAAACCACGAAACTGGAAAACACAAAAAATGAGCCTCAGGTTTAGATCTTAAAGGGGCCCTGCAATGACCTTTTTACTAATTTTTAAATTGCACCGGACCTGAGCGCACTGAACGTAGTAACTTAGTGAAACTTCTCTTTTCTCGAAATTCCCTTTAGTTTAGAAGTTATAGGCAAATTAAAATTACAAAAACAAGCAAAAAATAACCTCCCCATGACGTCCTTGGTTGCTTGAGAGTGGCCGTGAACTAGAGGAGAAGTAGTGGGCTCATCGAGCGCTCACGGCTGCCGCACTCCGAGTCGACGGCGCAAGAGGGCGCCACTAAAGCATGTTCTCGATATGCTGTATGCAGCGGGCAGCAAGAGCGGCTTTCATTGCATTTGCTGCGCGATTAAAGGCTAATTCGGCATGACACTTCATTGGCCACAAACGACAGCAAACACGGGGTAAAGATCAGTTCAGAATGGGAGCTACATTGCGCTGCCACACCGCGAAACGGCCAAAACGCAAGACAAAGCTTTTCGCCGAAGGCCTTCGGAACGCTCGGAGCCGGTCGGATGCTCCTGCCCAAACGACCGCAGCGCCGCCGCGTACATCCTGGACCTTTCCGTGTCGGCGTCTGATCCCACTGCTCTTTTCTAGCGCGCCTTTTCCACCGCTTGGTGGCGGGTATGTCGACGGGTCATTTCTTGTTTCCGTACTTTATGAACTGCATTCGTTTCTTTTTTGATCAAAAATACTGAACAAAAACTACTTTTACAAATAAGTG